TCCCTTCCTCTCGGAAATCATTAAAAATATATTAATAATAAAAAAAGAAGGGTGGAAATCTATTGATGGGAGAAGACGCAGAAGAAAAGAGGGCAGGCCTGACTGGATGCAGGCTCTCGGAACTGCATGGGAAAATGTCCGTGCCTGGGCTCAGAGACAGTGGGGAGGCTTGGAGCAGGGAGTTGTTGTCAAAGAGAACAGAGACCTGGACGTCAGCGACCATATGATTAAGGTCTCTAATGAACTCCGCTATGATTGGCTTCAGAAGTAGGACATTTTAGAGCCAATACATGTATCATGGAGTTTAACATTTGCAACCACCCTGATTGCTTATAACGGGCAGGCATTCTTGGGGAGAGTTGTTCAAGAAGCAAGTTGAAAGTGTGGCTCCAAGTGACTTACAGGGGTTTGATTGACGGTCAGTGGTGCGGATGACACCTCAGATGCCCCGGTAAGTAGAGAGAAGGGCCCGTTTCATGTCCTGGGGAGTTTGGGCCAAGAAGCTGATGACTGGAGACAGCTAACAATTTGAACTGCTGCTCAAAGTCATTGCTAGCCGGCCATGTTGCCAGAAATAAAGCGGCCTTTTGCTTAGGATACTTCTGTGAGCTTAGAAGGTTAGCTGCCTAAATGTGAACGGTCGCCTGTGTCGTTTCTAGCACAGTGAAGTCACTTTCTCCCGTGTGGTATGTCATCGGCACCTCCAGTCATGCTCCCCCACTCACTCTGGGTCCCTCTGTGGGTGAGAACTGGATGGAAACCTCTCCAAAACTATCCTATGACAAGACACAGAGAAGCTGACTTGCTACTGGCAACCAGGTGGTAGTTGATTACATGATAATAATAAACTGGGAATAAACCATATACCAGAATAAACAGTATAACAGAATAAAGTTGACCTGTCTTCAATAAATTCTTTTTTTTAATATATTTTTATTGATTTCAGAGAGGAAAGGAGAGGGGAAAGAGCATACAAACATCAGTGATGAGAGAGAATCATTGATCAGCTGCCTCCTGCACGTCCCCTACTGGGGATCAAGCCAGCAACCCTGGCATATGCCCTTGACCAGAATCGAACCCAGGACCCTTTAGTCCACAGGTCAATGCTCTATCCCAGTGGTTCTCAACCTTCCTAATGCCGCGACCCTTTAATACAGTTGCTCATGTTGTGGTGACCGCCAATTTCATTGTTACAAATTGAACATAATTAAAGCATAGTGATTAATCACAAAACAATATGTAATTATATATGTGTTTTCTGATGGTCTTAGGCGGCCCCTGTGAAAGGGTCGTTCGACCCCCAAAGGGGTTGTGACCCACAGGTTGAGAACCGCTGCTCTATCCACTGAGCCAAACCAGCTAGGGCTCTTCAATAAATTCTTATTCTAAAGGAGCAACGACCCAAATACCCACCATAGAACTTCAGCAGAATTCCATGAGGGACACTGTCTTATTGACCAACAAGACCCAATAGAGTGAGGAGGTATTTTATGCCCAACATCAGTGGGGTTTTTGCTCTTGGGATCAAGACAGGTTTCTGGGTCCAGGGGGGGCTCTCAAGGGGCCTTCCACACCAAGCCCCCAGCCTCTAAACAGAACACATTATAGTAACTTCATCTTATCTGGGTGTATAGTTTTGTTTTTGTTTTGAGGTCCCACTGGCTCCCTTAAACCCTCACTCTTTCAGGCAGGAATTTCTAGACTCAGTCTTTCACCGCTTGCTCTTTGCCCTTCCTTGCCACATACACCCTCCCTGAGCTTCGAGGGGAGCATGTGTCCAGGTACCTCAGGAGAACTGGGTCAAATGAGAGACCAAGACTCTAGGACTTTAGGGAAAGTCCCTATGGCCTTCGAGCTGGGAGGCTGGTGACTTTCCCAGCCTACCCCAAGGTCATTGCTGTTTCAAACCCACTTTCAGCTCCACACTGCCACCGCGTGGCTCCACGGAAAATTGCACTCTTGTTTCTTTTTTTTTCCTTCTTAGACTCGGTGAACGGGCTCCAGGAAGATGGCTTCCAACACCCCAACCTTCCCCTTGCCCATGCCCTGCTCCAGGAGATCAAAATTTTAATTTAATTTGCCTATACCATTATCATTGTCACTGGGAAACAAAGATGCCTAGAAACTTCCTGGTTGCTAAGGGATTTTATTGGTGAATTTCAACTACACTTCTGGGTTCTTGACCCAGGAGTGAGCTGCTGCAGCGTAGGCTGAATTTATAACCTCTTGAAAGATCTATTTATATACAAAGCACATCTGGAAAATTATTGGCCTATACCAAACAACATAAAAAGTCACCCTGAGAAACCCATCACCCTCCTCCTGCCATCGTCTGCCCTGCTCCCTAACGAGTTCTAAGGGACTAGAGTGCTGTATTTCACAGAGTTAGCCTTCTGGGGTCAGCTGCCAAAACGGATTCACCCAGCCCTGTTCAGGTGGCTCAGTTGGTTGGCGCATCGTCCATACACCAAAAACCTGCAGGTTCCATTCCCAGTCAGGGCACATACCTAGGTTGTGGGTTTGATCCCCCTTCTTGGGGGGGGGGGGTGTACAAACAATTGATGTTTCTCTCTTCTCTCTTCTCTCTCTCTATTCCTCTCTCTCACTAAAATAGATAAACATCCTCAGGAAAGGATTTTAAAAAAGAGTCAGTAAAAGCAGACATCTTGCTGAGTGTCTTTAGGCAAGTAATTCCTCCTCTCTGGGCTGGTATGTATGATTTGAAATAGGAAGCAAGAGTAGACACGGAAGTTGCTCTGGCCAGCCTTGATTCCAAGTCTCCTCTCTTCCCCTCTGAAATGTAGCCTCATGGGCCTGTGCCCTAGAAATTACCCGCCAGAAGCAACCTGAAGCCAGGCTATCATTATCTTCAGTAGAGTGTTCTATTGTCTACAGCAGTGGTTCTCAACCTTGGCTGCACATTAGAATCACCTGGGAATCTTTTTAAAATCCTGATTTCTGGGCCTCATCCTCCAGAAATTCTGTTTCTTTGTTATGGGGTGGGGCCACAACATTAGTAACAAAGAAAGAATTTCCAGAGGATGAGGCCCAGAAATCAGGATTTTAAAAAGATTCCCAGGGGATTCTCATGTGCACCCAAGGTTGAGAACCACTGGTCTACAGTCTCCCAACCCCTCTAACAAGGTGACATTTTCATTTCTTTGTGACAGATAAGGAGACTGTTGCTCGGAGAGATTGGATAACATGCCCAAGTTTGTGCAGTAGAAAAGGGGTGAGATCAGGACTCAAACCCATACCCTTGAGTACAAGACTGGTGTCCCTTCTGTTTCCCATTCATTATGATGAGCAAAGATATTCTTAGTTTTTATCACGGGCACTAAGGTCAGGTACTTTGGTCTGAAGGGGGTGGGGGAGGAACAACTTCCACAGCTCAGGCTGGCAGGGGAGGCTCCTAGGATCCACCGGGGCGGATGGACCGGGAAGAAGGGGGTGGGTGTCAGGGACCCACCTGGGCAGCAGAGTGCAGTGGAGATGGGTCCTGT